TGTGCAAAAAAGATTTTACAAAAGCATTTTTGTGTAGCCCCCCAGTGGCACAGCAGTATGTCTGCCAACTTACAATGCTGGAAACCGGGTTTCGATACCCTTGGTGGGCAGAGCACAGATAGCCCATTGTGTTGCTTTGTGCTTAACCTCAAACAAACTTTTATTGTATTTAAAAACCTTCTGTGTAAAAAATATATTATTAACATAATATGTTTTATCCATATTCTGAAAGTGACACAATGCACAGTTCTTGTTTCTAAAGGCAAAACATTCAACCAAAAAAAATAAATCAATAGAAAATGATAAACAAAAGTGTTTTTATTATAATCTTCAAAATTTTTTATTTGTATCTTTCTGTACTTATATGTGTACACACATTGTGTCTTTCACATCTTGTTTTATTTACATATTTTTATTTTCTCAATGGATTTCCAAACTAAAAGATAACAAAAGCAACTGTACATGTATATATATACACTTATTGCTTTGAGAGTAATTGTATACAAAGATGATACTATAATAGTGTGCTGGAGAAATTGTCATATTTTAGCAATAGCCTAAGCTACAAAGTTTAATTGACCATTACATTCTACGGGACATAAAAGAATATTCTTGCCCTATACTTAGTCACTGAGCAGAGTGAATGCCTGTTTGAAGTTCAAAAAGTAACATGAACAAAATTAAACAGAAACTCTGTCTTAAAGGCTGATGCATTTCTAAGTATTATTCTAATTTTAAAAAATTAGTGAAATATTTTTAAAGCAGTGTTTGTATTGAATACCTTTGTTAAAAGATTTTTGTACTCTGTGGGTGAAAGATAAAAATAATAAAATATATTATTCCATGAATATTTTAGATACTTTTAAAGTCAGAATTGTTTCAGAAACGTTCAGTATATATTTTAGTTTTTATGTTTTATATTTAGTTGGAGAATAAGAAAAGAAGAAGTGAAAGTGGTGATACTCTTGACATCAAGAAACAGAGGTGATATAATGTTTGTTTTTGTGCTTTATGTTTCTGCAATTTCTAACTTAGTTTTAAATGTGAACACATTTTAAAATGTGTATGTTCATCATGAGAAGATATTAAAGATAAAACATTGAATAGAGATAATAAGAGATTTTTTTAAAAATAATAATGTAAACAATTACTGAGTGGTTCTATTTCTGGAAGGTGTCCAAGAAATCTATTACCATATGATGAACGTATATACAGGCTTACAGAATGTACTCAAAATGTTGGCTCTCGAAACCAACATAGTATTTAAGACATTCAGTTCAAACCTTCATTAATACCAAGTACCATCATCTTAAAGTGCTTCTCAACCATTGGACCATGGACCTGTGCCAGTCCGTCACAACCACCTTGGCAGTGCATGGGATTTCATAAAAACTGACAGAATATTCATAATTAAATTATAATGTTTTTTCGTTTTACTTGCATTTTAATGGTCTGTGACAGTATCGGGAGGCAGTGAGCTGGTCCCCGATATTGAAAAGGTTGAGAAATGCTGATCTAAAAACTCCTGCAAAGAAACAAGAAAAGAAATGCTAATTTCCTTACTGTTACAATGGCAACCAAGTTTTGGGACACCCTGTATTTCATCAGCTCATTCACTAGGAACTGGTTTCACATAAATGATGGAAAAGAATAATAATATATCTAGTTCAATACCAAACTAAATAAAAAACTTTAAGTATTTAATATGATGTTATGAAAATAATTTAATGGTTTTAGATTGTCTATATTTATTAAGAATGACTTTCATTTGTTAAATATTTCAAGATCCAGCTTCTAACCAGTATTGCAAAGTAGCAATCCACTCGTGGACTGGATTGCTAATTAACAATCTAGAATTCTAGGTTTCGTAACTATTTGAATATTGGAACATGTATATATCTGAGTGAATCCACTCAATCTCCAGATACCAGATGAAACATGGCGTCAGTCACAAGTTTGACAGCCATGCCTTAGGAGATAAAATTTGTTAATTGTAAATCTATTTCTGCTTTGAAAATCATCCAGTTGAACTTATTTACATTTTACAAACATATTTCAGGCTCTCACCTGAGTTGGAAGAAAACATTCCTTTGACTACAAATAATCCTCCACCAGAGGAAGAAAAACCATATGTGATGTTTACTGCTCTTAAAAATACCGGCCACCTCTCTAGGGTAAGGTTTATGTGTGTGTGTATATATATAGTTTTGACTTGATTTTGGTTATGATTTCAGGAATAAGAATTATGCTGTGAAATTGGTATTAACTTTAATCAATCTGTATTATATATACTACAATTCATTCTTACCATCCTTGTATGCTGATGAGAAAGTACAAACTTTAAAACAATAGCACGTATATACAGCTATAATAATTGAAAACGTCAGTTTGAGTCTGCAAGTGGCTATTGCTGTTTTGTTTTAAGCATTTTGTGTCAGAAGGAAGAACCTGTTTCTATTTCATTAAATATGTCAATTAAGTAGTATTCTATAAAAAGTATGAATATAGGTAACAGTTTTTATAATGGTTATATTTTTCAGTAATTATTCACAAAAATTAGAAGTATTATACCTTTTGTTCCATGCTTATTTTGATGATTAACACAGGGTTCTGTTGAAATATTTGAGTACAGTATTTGGTGTTACAGAATTGGTTTATCCTCAGGAATGAGGTTTCACAATAGTTCTCCTTCTGGTAATCCTCAAATAGGAAGCTATGAACTTTCAGTTTTTGGAATTATTAAAAATGATGTAATTTTAACTGAAAATTGTGAATAGAAACATAATTCTTTACTTTGTAATTTTAATCTTAAAAAGATATGAAATATTACAAACAGAGATATGTCCTAAACCTAATGCAAGCTATAGTTTTTATCCCGCTTAGATTAATTTCAATTTGAAATGTATTATTAAACGGATCTCACTTGAGTTTTTGTAGGATATATGATTACTCAGTATCTTTTTGAAAAAGAAATAAAACTATATAGATTAATGATGATATAAAAGAGTTTTAAAAAATTCAATCGTAAGTTCCACTTCCCTTACTAAAACAATTATAATTTGTGGCAACACCATCAGAACAGTCCTAATTTACACAAATATCATCTATGTAACTTACTGTGACTAACTGTAGAATTTAGAAATCTATAAAAAAGTATTTTAGACTTAACCCCGTGATCTAATGTCATAAGTTTGTGAATAGTTTTCATAGTTTAACAGTAGCTCTTTTCAGAAACTTTCAGTTTAAAAGTCATTGTTAGTTTATCTCATTTATAAGACTATGATACATACTGGTTAAAACTGACCCATAAACGGTAACAAAGGAAAACAAATACAGCAGTGTTGTAACAATGAATTGTATACATTATCGTACATATTACCATAGGTGTATTGGTTGCATTCCTATAACTGAATTTGTATGAATTGTTTAGTGGAACTTTTTGTTTGTGCTTGTAGATTGTCATTCAGTTGGGTGGACGACTTGCACCATCGGCCAAAGAATGCTCCCACTTGGTTATTAACAAGTTTGCTCGAACAGTCAAGTTTCTATGTGCTATTAATGTGGTAAGGTATGTTGTGACGTCAGACTGGCTGCTGGAGAGTGAGAGACAGAACAGATTTGTTGGTGAGCATGCGGTAAAATTATTTACTTTTACAGGCAATTTGGAAATTAGAAAAGATTTCTATGTTGAGAAAGAAGAAGCAACTGCTAGTACTAGTAAACAATTATAATGTAAAACCCCTATAGAAAGTTCAAATATTTGTTTATAATATTTGCCACCATTTATATTATGACAGTATTAATTACTAAGTGATTAATCAGAACTTTAAAAAACAAAATCAAAATCTTATTAAAAAAAAAAAGTGACCAGATTTGTCCCAGTGGTTACATGTCAGGCTGAGGATTGGAAAGTTCAAAGGTTGAGCTGTGATATCCTGAAAAACACTGTTGTGAGTGTTAAAGTTTTACAATCAGTGCGCTTTGGTTAATAGTAACTGCTATTTAGGTGTTTTTGATCTAGCTATTTAGCCCACTCACGGTGATTAAGAAGAATTTGAAAATACAGAGAAATGCTCAATAAGTGAAAAAGAATTAAGTGGTCAGTGTTTTAGTCAAAATGTTGACCACATTATTTTGTTTCTCATAATTTATATAATCGGGAAAAATCTGTTCCTTTTAACATATCCTTTGTAGGAATCACTTGACAATCAAATCAACCCATGCATGGGCTCTAAATGTTTTTCTGATCATTGCAGCTAGTACGAGGTGTTGGATCGTAAATTTTTATACTAATGTGTCCATCAACATTCTGTTATATGTTGTCAATACAGGAAATCATTATATGTGTCTTTTCTGCATCAGTTTCACCTGAGATATCAGAACGGCATGTATAACAACATCTCACTGCCATCAAAGCTGGGGACAATCTAGATTATTTTAGGGATTTACTAGACAGCGTTGACTTTGATGGGTTGATGTAGTGAATAGAAAAAAAACACTTAAGAAGCCATATATGTATTCCACAGTGAATATGTTAAAGTATCAAAAAAGTCATAGGATTTTACTTAGTTCTCGTTTTAATACTTTGTCCATGAATTTTAAAAGTTTTTAAAATTAAAATTGTCTTTTTTTTTCAGAATTTGTTTTTAACTTGGTTGAAAAGCAATGAATGTTATAAGGTTACCAAAAAATGGGTAGTAGTCTGTCCCGGCTTTTCCATATTAATAATAATGTGATAGTTGTAATAGGTTTTATATTTTATCAAATTCATCATTCTGCATTACTGTATTTTCAACAACTTTAGTTTAAATATATATATATATATGCTGAGATACAAGATTCTGCCACCTCTTTTTAAACCATAAAGATACAGTAACATACTGATTGGCCAATTTAGTCATGTGATTCTGACTGATCCCATATTATAATATTATTAAGGTATGTCCAGACTAGGTTGAGGGTCAAATCTTAGAAACTTAAACTGTACTAAGCTATTAAATGGAGATATACAGCAGTAAAATAAAAATGTCCTAGGTGTGTGAACAAGTAATTTTAGTTTTGTAAGAGGTTTTATAAATATCAATCAAAATTGCAAAAATACGGTTTCATAACCGTTAAAGATAACCTTTAAACCGTTGTGTACTTTAATAATTAGTTATTCTTAACTTCTCGAGGCAGAGTTAACTCGCAAGTAAGTAAACTCTGGACAAGACAACATCCGGTCTTGTGGGGGTGTTGTTTCTTTACTGTATTAATGCATACATGCAAGCAATTTATTATACCACCAACAAAACTTACAAGATTTCTTGTAACTGGATAGGGCAGCATCTAATTGAGATTATATGTGGCAAGTTTTTTTTTGTCTAAAACTTGTGTGATATGCCTAATGTTGTCAACCAACTTCTCGGAATCGAGTGACCACATTGGACGATCAGCATGTTACTGTATCTTTAAGGTTCAGAAGATTGGCATTATGTTCCCTAGCCCTAGACATAGCCTGATTTTTTTTTATTATATAAAATTTAAATGTTTTATTATTCAAGACTGTCATCAGATGTTTAATGAATAGTTATTTATCAGTCATAGATGTTAAAATGTTTTTAATATTTTACCTTAATCGGAAACCAAATACTTAAAATCCAAATTAGAAATTTCCTGGTGTCAGAAATAAGGCTATTTAGTAAATTAATATCAAGTTCGAATGTGACATACGCAACACTTTCTGAAAAATAGATTTTGAGTTTGTTGTCTTTGTTATAAGCTTTTATTTTCTCATACATTTCAGATGAGAAACCCTACATTTTAGAAGATCAAGAAACTGAGAAACAGTTTGGTGTTAAAATCAAACAGACTTTAAAGAGAAGAGGCAGGGGCCCCCTGTTCAAGGTTGGAATAGCCAGTAATTCTAGACTGTTTTTCTAATCCTTGAATTGTTGCTTGATTAAACAGTTAGGATTATAGTTAATTTTCGTATTTCACCAATTTGTAGGTCATTGAAAAATTAATGCTCGATGTTTTATTTTGTCCAACTTTATGAATCTCGTTTTACATACTTAATATGTTAAAAGTACAAACAGGACTAGAAAGAACAGTTACCTGAAGTCAGTATGTAGATAAAATGAAAATTTTAACACGCATTTCAAGTCGGTGGGGTCAACAGAAACAAAATGGTGGATATTTACATTTTGTCCACCAGAGTGAGTGCTGTTGTGCACAAACAGTATTTTATATATACAAATAAGATGATTATAAAAAAAGTCATTATGGAATGTTTGATCACTCTTACATTTGGAGGATTTCATGTAATTATGATTCTACTGAATATTATTTCCAGAAAGAAAAAAAAAGTGAAAAATTAAACAAAATACAGTTTCCTCATAAGTTACCACAATTTCGAGTGTTTGAACTAGTTTTTCAACAGAAATACATCTCCACACAGTACTACATTATACATCAAAATATCTAAGCAATAAAAATAAAAGAGGGGTTGAAATATGGGAGTCAAAGGTCAAGAAACCTATGTGAGCATAATGAAGCAAACAACAATTTATTGAGAATATTATGTAAGAGGTGAATTTGGACTGTTTTATTCTCATTGCATGTTCTGTAATGCACGAACTGAACTTGATTTTATCTGGGGTCATAAGATCATCACTTTCCTCCCCCCACTTGTTTTACGTTTTTCAGTAATAGATTCCTTTTTTTTTCGGTATTCATACCGTAAAAAGTCAATATATTGAAATGTAATCATAATCTACATGAAATACTTTTATAGTCAGAGTGGCCAAAGATGCTAAAATGAATTTTTATAATCGTATCATTCGCATATGCAAAAATATTTTTTTTTAACACAACAGCACCCTTTCCAAAGTAAGTGTCTGCCATTTTGTTTTCGTTGGCCTGAAACTGGTGCCAAAACATTCCATGTTTTCTTGTGTATTTCAATGAGATCCTACTTGAATACGAAACTAATATTGGCTTTTCATCGGTGATCTTATTAGGCCTCCTTTAAATAGTGTAGTTAAATTTTTGAATCAAAACTTTTTTTAACTATGTGGTTCACAAAAAGATAATTTTTTCAAGATGGAGTTATCACTATCTTTTCCTTGAACAAACTTCAATAATTACTGCAATAAATTGTTAAGTGAAACTGGGTCCACGATCGTTTTTTTTAATATGGATAAACTTTCAATAGCTAGAAAATTTACTATATGAGCTATGATTCTACCTAATCTAACTTTATATTCGTATATAGAACATGGTGTTCTTCATCACTCCAGGAGTCTACCCACCTCCACTGGTCCTCAAAGACATTGTAGAGTGTGGTGGTGGAACAGTAGTATTGAAAAGAAGACCGACGTACCGACAGATCAAAGCTATGGCCCAGGTGCTTAGTCTTAAATCTTGGTTATTTTATACACCTCTTTTTCTAATTTTTATACATAAGACAATTTTAAGTTGTCAGTAAAACTAGAGCCATCTTCAGTATTTTTAATGTATAGATTTTAAACTTTTTTTTACAAGAGCTGTAGCTGTTAAGTGTCATTTTTTTTACCTGCCTCTTCGATGATTTATTGGAAACCATGCCATAAAAAATTGAGTTTTTTGGTTCAGTATTAAATAGATGAATCTGAATAATTAATAGTATACTCAGGATTTTAATTTCAGCATTTATCTACATATTCATATTTTGATAGTTAGTAGTAGAGACTGTAAAATAAATCAATACTACTATTCTGTACAGTTTGTGAAAAACAAACTTTTTTGTTAGTTATTTTTTATAATATTCAAATTTTATCTAGAAATGTGTGTTTCTGTTTCTGGACAGTCTCCCACTTATTGGTATGTTGTAATAAGCTAGCTGTGTAATATACGTACATACACATGTATGTGTATATATACTACATGTATTTCCACAGGGTTTCCGAAAGTGTTTTGTTTTAAGAGTAAATAAAACCAAAATTAAGATTAACAAATATTTGAAGTTCATAGGTCATGTTGTGTTGTAACCCATAGAGTGCGTGATTCACGACAGTACAAATTCCAACATTTTAGTGTTTACTGACTGACACAGTACACTATTGTATAATGATGCGAGTGGTTAAAACAGATGACCCCCTCCAGACAAATAATGTTAGACTTATTTTTCTCATCTTTTCTGTCAAACAGTACCTTTGTAACTAGACAGGTAAATGAGTTTTGATGTATCTTTAAACTTTCAGGCTGGTACCACTTTCTATGTGATAACGTGTGACAATGACCTTCACCTATGTAAGGATTTTCTACAAAAGAAAATAGGTAAGTTAGCTTTTTCTCTCCATGCCATTATTAAATATTTCCTATAATCTTCCCCAATAAAATTCAGAATTGTGTATCAGTTAACATTTCTATTGTTCGATCAACTGAACTTTAATAGTGATACAAGTCTTAGTTAACCATTGAATTTTATACTTTCATTCTTACTGTGTTTAAGACAACCCACCAAGTGCCGAGAATAAAAAAATTGAATGTTTCACGAAAACCAGAACTTGAAACAGTTATTGAAGTATTAGTATTGATGAGGAATATAGCAAAGTAACTATCATCATGATTAAATGTGTTGTTCTTATTGAAGAAACATCATTATTTGTTAGATATTAAGTGTTTAATGCAATTTATAACTTAAAATAATATTTTTTGCATCGCTGCTAACGTTGCTTGATACTCTTAAAAATCAGACAGTCAGTAATTACCAAGGAATTTAACACCAACTATTTTATAAGACGGTGTTAGCTTTGAAACTTTATTTTACAGTAATTTATATTCATATCATTTATCTACAGGTGTCCACAATGCTGAATTCATCCTCACAGGTGTACTAAGACAACACTTGGATTTCAGTGCCTTTCTCTACACATGACACTACTTCAAAAGCCAAATAGCATTTTGTACAGATGTTTAACAAATATTTTGTTACAAAAAGTCCCCATTAAATGACTATTACAATTCTGGGGGGGGGGGTCTTTGTTTTTGTAAGATGCTCTATTATGCAGTAGTATTTATGAAAATTGAGAGCAGAGTTTTTATTACAATTAGGAACTTTTCGTATGTGATTGTATTAATCATTTATATTTAGTAATAAATAAACTTTAAAATAGTCTTTGCGATATTAATTTTTCATTTACTAGTTACCAGACCTTCCATTTTACTGTCCAAAAAAAAGGACACACAAAAAAAAACGTTTTCTTTGTCGCAAAACATTGTCATTCAGAATAACTGGTGCATTGCATTTTAACCATAGAATTACCCTCCTCCCACTAAACTCTTTTTATTAAAAGGTATACTGTGTATATTATAAAGGGTAATTTCAATAAAATTATAAATTAGTATAATCATGAGATTTGACCGTGTAGTAGTGGTGGTGTTGATTATAAGTATTTTAAAAGACTAACAGCACAAAAACACGTTGAAGCCTTTCATGTGAGCATAAAGTTTTTATGTAAAATATGAAAGGGATACACATCAGTGAAGTGAGAACGGTAAGACAGAGACCTGGGAACTTCTGAATTTGACAGTTTTTTAACATCAGTCACTCATTAACTTTGAAAAAGGAGGAATACTAAACAATTGATTTAAAATATACAATACGTTTTTGTAAATAAACTTGTTTAAACAAATAAAAGACTGTACTTGTGAAGTCTTGAGAAGAACTGGTGAAATTACATGCAAGAAACCACTAATGTGCACTGGCACTGTAGGAAGAGCCACCCCCCCATCCATTGACTATGTACAAGACTGGGTCAGATATGGAGAGTTCCTAAATAGACGTAAGGTTTCACCCACAAAACTTCACAGTCCAAGAGCTAGTTAGTAATTTGGTATTAAAATGTCCAAATGCTTAAGCAGAGAGAGAATGGGCTAATTATTTGTTCTCCAAAACCATAATGACAGTTACACCAATAACTTTTATGGGCTCAGTATTTACTCATTGATGACATAGTAAAATGTGCCATTATTATTTGCTGCCATTTAAATTCTGATGTATGGTTCTATAATTACACAAGTTGTATGAAATTGATGTGGGAATTTTTTTTTTTCCAAAGTTCAGTCCCGTAGAGTACAAAATTATTATTATTTTATTTTTTTGTAATAATTGGCACATCCTTCAATTAACATTTCAGCCTTTAAAAACCTTTATAGAAAAAACAAGTTAGATTTGCAGACGTTTTACTTCTGGTAAACCAATTACGATACCATTATTTAACATATGTGTGTGTGTGCATGAATTATGAGGGATATTATTAACCTATTTATGGGATGATTGCAACATGAGGGAGTAAAAAAAACTTTTAGTGCTTCTCTTTTGCAAAAGACTATACAACTTGTACCACTTCATGCCAGTTCAGCCATGTGGAGTTCCCATATGTGGAGGGTTAGGAGTGACTGAACACACCTCTGGACTATGTTTCTGCCAAGAAAAACAAACTTGTATTATAATAAAATACTTTTTACTTAAAATATCTACATAACCTCTATCTCATTAATTAGGAAAGCTACAAATGTAGCAGTAATACCTAATTGCAACATCTGTATAAACTTAAATAGATCAAAAGTTGGAAATACACATACCAGTATTCAGTTTATTTGACTTGAATTTATTGAATCCAAATTAAATCAAGAGTAGCTCTTTGAGTATTTTGGTTTTTTAAAAATTCAGCAACAATGGCACATACAGTGCTATTTTATACTTATGGTTGAGGATGTTATATTAAAATGAGTTTGAATATGCAAATAAGCAAGTCACGTGACTACATCTTAACATTGTTTAGCATTTCGTAGTTATTGTGTCATTACCATATCTTGATCACTTTTGGATAGGATAAAAGAGACCTTGGACCATAGAGATGTATGCAGATTAGGGATATCCCTTGTATTTAATAACATTCATAAACAAAAGGATATGCATCAACTTGGGACACCAGGACCATCCAGAAAGTGAACTGCAACAACTTGTATCCTAGATGTAGCAGCAGTGTAGTATCTTTTAACAGATTAAAATACAAAGGTCAATGGCAAAAGCTGTTTACATGCCCATGGATTTCTGTTCAATCAGAAAGTAGAAATGGGAACTGGAAAACTGTCATTTTTGTACACTAGATGGATTATGGAAAGCACAGAGGGAGTAGTAGTATAAAGAACTAGGCAATTACATTTGATAACCCATAAAAGAAAAAAGAAATGTAGAAAGACATTTCATGTAGTTGCAGTTTAAGTTATACTGGGCAGACAACTAGAAATTTGAAATTTAGAATAAAAAAAACAAAAATGCTGTTGATAAATTTAAAATAAGCGATTCAGCCTTGGCGGAACATGTAACAAACCCTTCACGTGTCATTGATTTGGACAATGTAAAAATACTTAAACAGGTGAAAATTTTTTAAAAAAATATGATTTTGAATAGAGATTTAGATTCAGGAGCCACAAAATTATATTTCTGGTAATTGATTTTGTAAGTGGCACCAGTATACAAGATGCTAATTGTAGATGTACATTTACTGTGTATATAAAGGAACTTTGTTTCCTGAAAATGGTGGAGTATGTTTCACTGAAACACGTATTTTAGTATACATTTTTCTACTTTTAACTTTATATAAATAAACTATTGTGCATGTCTAAACATTGGTATCATTATCTTGTTATTATGGAAGAACAAATTAATTCAATAAAGTTTTTTATATTTAATTTCATAGAAACGTTAAAAAAAAAATCAAAAATTTGCTTTTGAATAGATTTTAGCATGCTTTGAAAGAAATCATTAGCATTTGTGAATTTCCTGATTTGTTCTGAGCACAAGAGGCCGCTCAAAGCCCCTAGGAGGAAAGTCTTAATAATGTTGAGCAAAATAGCACTAATGTGGCCTTGTAACTTGTTTGTTTGTAATTAAGCACAAAGCTACACAATGGGCTATCTATGCTCTGCCCACTACGGGTATCAAAACC